CCTAACCCTAACCCTAACCCTAACCCTAGGTGCGGGACACCCGCGTGCCGAGTTTGGGCGCAGGTCGTCGTATGAGACTGCATGACGGCAACCGAGTCCTAACAAAGATCTTTGATACGCTCCGATTAGTCCCCGGTGTGGCAACGCAGAGTTTCAAGCAGGCACTCGCTGGCCAACTTTCCCTCTCGAGGGCCAAATCTCCATCTTGCAGTCGAGCTGTCAACACCGTCCATCATTTTGTCAACGCGGGCATTCCTAACCCTCGACAGGACTCGGACTGGATCTGATGCTACAGAAGCCCGCTACTGAACGCCGCGGGACCAACGGGCTATCTGGCGGTGTCAACAACTCTCCGCCTCTCGACGGCGTTGTAGAAAGTTCGGACTGGGAGAACGTACACAGGTTGTCGGCAAACAGCTCATTTCCATCCACTCCCGCGTCCGTTGCCGCTTTGACCTTATAGGGATGTACAAGCGCGTGGCTTCCGGCCTCGAAGCGGCCCAACTACCCTGTTGATCTCGTCCTATCTCATGCGGTCGTCTCTGTCTGCAGCTGCCGCTCGAATCAGGCGCAAAAAGTGCGGCAGACCGCCCAACCTCCAAACCAACCGTTTCCGCATTTTGCTGGCGGAGGCTTGCGCTCGACTATGCGCTTGCTCCCTTTGTTGTTGCAGCTGCGCGCTCCTCTGCAACCGAAATGACCGACATGTGTATGTGGTTGGGCCCCGGATTTTGCGCGTAAATTCATCACAAAGCGTGGACGCGGCGGGGGCCGCCGGCAATCTCATGAAGATAGCCGCAGTGCGACGTGGGGTGCAGAGACCCCGCTCGACGCCACCGGGGATTCCCCCGCGCTTGTCACCCGTGCCCTGTTGCTAGCCGCCCTGTCACGTTCGGACGCCAGATCATGCTCTCGGCGCTGTCTCGGGTGTACGACCAATCCATTCCATGCACGCTTGGCACTGCTCCGATGCGTACCGTACTTGCCTCGCGGTGGGTGGGGGACGCACCTCCCCCGCGTTTTCGCATGATCCTTCCGGCATACTCGATACCTCCGCAGCAGCCCCCTGGACACCCCCCC